ATCGAACTTTCTGCACATCATCGTTGCGGCCACGCTGGTGCCATCCGACACCAGCAATGCTTCGCAAACAACGATGATCAAAGACTTGAAGGCGCCTCAGATCTTCAGACCGAAGGGGCCAAGTCTCACTACCATAGAGCAGAACGGCCCTCACTGTGGCTTGTATACCCGGCCTTTCAGAAGGAGGGAAACTCCCTTCTGTCCCCAAAGATGACGCAGGTTCAAGAAGGCAGCTCTGGCCTTTGCAATGCGTGAGCTCACGTCAGTTTCTATGCGCCCATCATTGCTGATGCAGCTGCCAAGATAATGATCAACCACCTCGAGTTCCTCGTTAGCAAGCGTCAAGGGGTCAACCAAGTGGCTGGTGGTCCTGCAGCAACACTTTGCACTTTGAAGGTGCGAAGTGCATACCAAATACCCATACCAAATGGTATACGACTCATGAAATCTGTTTAATCGATGTAAATTGCGTGATAAAATTATACTTAACCTGAGAAGAAATTATCGACAACATATCGTTCGCTAAACTCTTTGTTGTAAAACAATCGACCGGAATATATCTATGCCTAGTTTGATTACTGTATGACTATCAATAACAAAACTCATAATCACCTGTGCAAACTGGGAACCGAATATCTAACTGCACAATCCGGAAAAAGTAGCAGGCGTATTGTGTTATCCAAATGAGCAAGCTTATTTTTATCTATAGGGCTGATGGGCTTGAGATCTCTACAGGCGCAGTGACGGCCTGTGCGGCAGAAAGTCAAATCGGAACTCACTCGAAATATGCTGAAACCCAATGAGATGCAAGCCAGTTGTGAGGCTTCGAGACAGTTCACAAATCCACGAAATAGTTTTCTGATAAGATAATTGCGCGATCGAAGTATGTGTTCTTGTGGCTTAAACATCAAGCGCAACTGAAACAAAACATGAAAGAAACGAGTTCTACAAGCTTGCATTATCTATGTAGGTACAAATAATCGCAGCGCAGACGTTAGATAGACAAACAAGGCATGTGCTTCGAACTTAATTGGAGGGTAAGTAAGAAAAGGGTGTAGGTACTTACTGCGTGAAAGCCAATGGAACCAATAACACCATAGTGGTCTTGGGGAAATACAATGTTGTGTACACACCATGCCTCGAATGGGCACCCAAAAACTGTTCCTAGTTCTTGTTAAATCGCTATGTACTATCGGTTTCTGTTTGCAAGTCTTTGCGATCAGATCCCCACTCCTCCAAGCTAACTTCTTACCACTGAGGATTGTGCTGCTTCTGTTTATGTTCCTTACCATACTCACTACGAGGTCGAGACCGGTACTTCATGGTGATTCATGAGCAAGAGTTGGATTGCAATACGAGGGAGAATGACCCAGCACATCTATACATAGTAATACCACACGGGACAGAGGCTTCCCAATCACATGCCATGTGGCCCAATGCCGTCTCGCCATGCAAGATGAGCTTCCATACTATAGAAAATAAAAGTAACGGATAATTCCAAAAACATGAGAATAATAGCGCTTACACCGACTTAAGTCAGTGGATGCTGCTATCCGTCTGAGGTGCATTGTGTCATGTTACCTCAAAAGCTGATTATGACCAACTGTGGTTATTTGGGCGTGGAAAAGTTTGATGCTGGTAAGAAGAAATACATTTACCGCTGAGGTTATGAAAAAAGGTATTTGTACAAATTCATGAAGCCTCTCGCTAGCGCATGAGTCCCCTAACAGCCGCATTTCTTTAGGTCAACTCCGTCACAGGTCACTCCAACATAGGTAGCACTGTAAAAAAATCCATGGTAACACAACTGCGCTACGCTGAGTTGATCTGTCTGCTTGATTTGAGAAAAACAGGAGAAATCTTGCGGGGAAATCGGAACCATGAACCATCTCCAAGTGGCGCCGTGGTCGGCACAAAATGATGTATCAAAATTTGTTCAAAAATTCTTTTTCAAAATGGCATCCAGAATTGACCCCGCCTCTCATCCCAAAAGCACGGAAATCGGATGAAAGCTCCGAAAAGTTGGATTCTACAGTATCCCAGTCTCAGGGGCAACGGGACGGAAGAGAAGGCATCGCGAGTACACATTTTAACAGGATTATCGAAATGCTGTTGTACATCGTTACTGAAAGATTAACAGACGGAAATTGCATGCAGATTTCAACAAAATAAAACAAGTAACCGAAAAGTAGAGATTGAAGTTAGAAATGAAAAGCGCAAGTGAGACTGAGGCAGGGTATGGACGGCTTTGAGCGCATCCAAATCTTGCAGCGCGGAGCCGTGCGAAACCTCAAGCTTAAAGGTTTAAGCGTTTTGATTCCAAACTAAGCACCACTCAACGCGAAGCAAAACCTCAAACTTGTAAATATGTATAGAACTGAAAAGGAGGGACAAAAACCATAGCATTTTAAACATCAGCAAACAATAGGTATAGTCATAGTATTGTAATTGATGTCTCGATGTTGTACCAGACCATGGTGATCTACGAAACCGAATATAATAATATTAATACATCGAATTTCAATCACGATATATAATAATTATAAGGCGGGAGAGAAGAGGGGGCCTAGCGAAAAATACCACAATTCCATGACTAAACATTCAGGATCAAGGTTGCTACACGTTATCAACAACAATACCATCTAAAACTAAACTGGTGGTATCTCTAAGAGACAGTTTCCTTGTGCTTTCACCGCCCCGCGTCATAATCAGCCATCACCCCGCAGACAACTCAGCGGACCAAGAACGACAGCAGACGCGCTTGATACGACTGCCAAACAACGCCTTGTAAGGCTCCAAGCTAAGCACAATGGACGGGCACGTGGACTCCAAGTTGAAGGCGAAACTGGAATAACGGTACCCAGTTTCGCCGTCAGTAACTTCATTTCCAGCTACTGTCGTAACGAGATTGGACCTTAATATGGTGCAACGTGAGCCTATACTGGGTATGCCTTCCGGGCCCCTTGTGAGGCTACACTCTACCATGTTGGTCACTATGAGTTAGAAATCTGACGATACTCAGTTCTCATGGTCTCAGTTGCGGGGTGTTTGAAATGGGAAAAGTGTCCACTTATGTGGAAAATCTACATCATTGCTACCACCCGTTGTCTTGCGGACAGGCTTTTGTGCCAAAGGCTTGGCTGCGGACCCTAATCGTTTTGTTGCTAGGTCAGGGCGCCCGACAGTATCTCAACTACTACAACCGTGACCTATTTACTATAACTTCATAAGCACACAAAAACTAAACAAGATTACACCGTTATTAGTGGTAACAGTGAAATTCGTCGAAATGATGAACTTTTATAGTGCGCAGAAAGCGAAAATGGAGAACCGGTTGGAAAGCGCCACAGTCACTGTGTTTTTTTTTTTTTAATTTACAAAACATGACAGTAATAATACCTTATTCACATAGTCTGCGAAACAGTCACAATGTGCTATCACAAACCCATGGACTGCAATGGCATGGAAAGTGCATCTGTCCAAAAAAAGGCGAAACGCTTTTTCTCTATTTCTTTTTAGTGTAGTTATCTGTTTTAGTGTTCCACACACGCGTTTGGATGGTTCTTGTTTCTTTAAAATGCAAATTTGGATGAACGGAAAATGTTAAAACAGCCTTGACGCCATTGCTTTCAGTTGTGGACTATGGCCTTCGAAAAGTCCAACAAGTTGTATTCCCCATCGCCTGATCCCCAACCTGGAACACGGACAGATCCTGATGATACCAAACATGAGGTCGCACATTCCTGATGTTCCTCTTCAACGTCATCAGTTGTCCGCCCCGTCATTTGCTCCACTCACGCCCAGGAATTGCGAATAACGCTCGGCGAGGAAGTAGATTGGTTGGCAGGCGCAAAACATGGTCAAACCAATGCAAACGAGGTTAGAGAATAGTACCCTGGAGAGTAGGATTGTTCGCTCCGAGTACTCTTTTTCTAACTTCCGAGTTGCTTACATGTTGTTGCCACCACACACGAGCGATTGTTTGCAAGCAGTTGTTGTGGATAGGTGCTAGTCGTTTCAGATCTACTACACGGACAGACCAGATGTCGCAACCTTACAGCAGGACGGCACGGACAGTGGTCCTGTACACTCTGACTTTGAGCCTGAGTGATGTCGCGGCGGCGCCACAAGTGCCTCAGGTTAGTGAACGCCAGGCGAGATTTAGCGATTCGCTGTGACACTTCATCCCCAACACCAACACCTGCCGTGATGCAACTCGCAAGATAAGCGAAGCGATTCACATGCTCCAGGCAACCAGCTGCAATTGTGAGTGTTTGCACCGGCACTTGTCAATCTTGGAGTAGGGTTTTACACTTGGATAGGGCAAAGTACAAACCATAATTAGATGCCTCGATCGCTAATCGGTTCAAAACGTTTTGGATGACTTATGGATCGTCCCCCAGCAAAGCTAAATCATCAGCATAATCCAGGTCCGAAGTTCTGTCCCCAAGGAGGAGCTGAACGTTGCAGCTCTCAGCTCCTTCCAGAGTGCAGTGGAGAACATCAACGACTGCAAAGGTGAATAAGAATGGTGAGATCGGGCAACCTTGGCGTACTTCGCTGGTAAAAGCAAAAGGCGAAGAAAGCCTTCCAAAAGTTATAACTTGGACCGATGTGTGACGATAGATTTCTTACAGGATTGCGACAAATTTGTCGGACACACCGCTTCCTAGTGGACAGTTCTAAAGATATGTTCTATCTATGGAGTCAAAGGTACGAATATCCAAAAACACCCCTATTGTTGATCTTCGGTGGCTGTGACGATGTTCAAGAATTTGACGCAGCGTGAAGATCTGGTCGATGCAACCTCGACTGCTGCGAAAACCGGCTTGTTCTTCGCGAGACAAAGTCTATCGAGCAGCCGAAAGACTGCGGAACAATATGGACACAAAAGTTTTAGGCGCGACCTATAAGTGGTATTCCTCGTTAGTTGGTGCCATCGCTGCGGCACCACGATAGACTCGCCCTAAGAGTTGGGAATCTTCTCATCGTGAAAAGCGAGAGCAGTTCGCTAATAACCATATGCTATCCATTTTTGAAGAGGACCGGAAGAAGAAGGCTGTCAGGGTCTGGGACTTTGAATCATTTCAAAGTGTAGATTTCTCTCCGAATCACAGCTTCGGTGGATCTGTGCACACGGGCCATAAACAGGATGGCAAGCGGGATGGTGAGATAAAATAAGCTGCGTGTGTTTGCAGTAGTGGCAGCAGCTTCCAGTTAAGTGACTTGATTGGACCACCAGGATTCACGAGTGCGGCGCAGACTTGCTTTTAATTGTTGTGAAATCATTCATTGAGTTCAATGCGTTCCACACTGACGGAAATAGACCGTCGACGGTCAAGTATTTCCCAAGATATCAATGAAGCCCAACTTTTAGCTCTTGAGCGAGCAAGACCACAGGTATAGAGACCCGCAGAAAGCATGACCTGTTGTAAACGTGGCAAATACTGGTCAACGTCCAGTGGAGGGAAACAAGTGAGACTGTCAAGAAGCAGGCGTTGATATTCCAATTGAGCAGCGGATCCTTCCAATTTACCAATGTTAAGACGAGTTTGTTTGATCTTAGACGAGCCACCTAAACGCATGCATACTGTCGCACGTACCAGCGCGTAATCAAATTCGATGCAAGTTGACCAATAAGGTCTGCAGTCTCGAAGACTGCTGCATCAGCGACGACTTAAGGCGATGGGGTCAATCTGCGACCAATGTCTTGATCGATGAATATGGTAGGTTTCTGTCAGACGCAAGCAATAAGAGAAGAGCAAGTCGGGGTCATAGAGCGGAGCGCTGGTTACCCTATAAATAATAAGTTGCCTTATGATCCAAATAGATTATGATCACCGCCCAGTTTTTGCCTTTGATTCTCGGAGGGCGATACACGACATGTAGCACGCCAGGTAGCGTCGTGGTGTCTCGGGTGGCCAAAGTTCAGGTTGGATAGGTAAAGTTGGTGGGCGGAGCATAGGCTGAGCAGTCTTTCTCCTTTATCCGAGCGAAGGTTATTGTATGTATACCTATCACAGAAGTAGCGTTCGCTTGGCAGTAAACAGCCAACAAGCGCGTGGAAATCCCACGCCATAACAATGATGTCCGTTTCGGGGGCCTTAGAAGCAGGTCATGTTCTGATAGAATAGGTTTTGACTGTATTCGGGCTACAATCAGTGGACGCATAGGCGAAGACAACAAAAAGAGCGCGTTTTACTCCTGGACACTTGGACGAGCCTTGGAGCCGCATAGCGCAGAGGCAACTGCTTATGGGGATCCACCCAAGAAAGGTGGCTTCGATTCTGAAACTCAGGGCAACTTCAACACCAGCTTGCCCAGCTGCAGTGGACTAGGCGTCACCGCAAAGGTAAAGAAGGAAACGGGTGTATGGGCGAATGGGTGAAGACAGTTGGTAGATCGTGTTGAGGTCCTGACGTCCGATTTCAGACAAGCAGCATATATCTATTGTAACAGATTCCAAGGTGCGTGCGAGACCGGCTTGTTGTGCTATCTACATTAGGGTACGCACATTGAATGCTCCAACTTGAATTGTGTTTTGGGTTGAAGAAGCGGAGAGGGGGAGCATGGAATTGTCTTATACCGGTTTGTAGGTATCTGGTTGGTAAAGCAGCAGTTTCGTCAGAGCGCGCGATGTCGTACAGCGATGAGGGATGAGAGGGAAAGCGGGAGGGGATGATACAGAGGAATGGTAGATAAGTAGATGGTGTGTGACTAAAAAGTAATAGTAGCAGTAGCAGAAGAGCAATCCACTAGCAGAGCGAGTGTAGTTCAATGCAGTTCTTTAGTAAGGTGAAATACTGCTCGGTTGCATACGCCGAAGTAGGGGGTTTTCTTGGGGAACCGCCACCAGCAGTCTGCGGCCAAAGGACCTAACACACAAGGCAGTGAGGCGATATGAGGGACTCGCGCCCGTTAAGAGCCGGTGACCGATTTATCGGTTCATACGCCTTTCGTTTGGTAAGCCACCAAACAGGGGCCTAATACCCCCATATTTTCAGCACAGTATTGGTAACATACAATGCTCCATCGGGGTAAAGCAAGAGGCAGTTACTTTTCTAGTGGTGGGTCATATCCGCCACACCGCAACGTTGTTAGACAGATATATGTGGCTTTTTATAGAGAGAATAGTTTCCAGGCGAAGACCCATCAAGTCATGGAACACTGCCGCCGAACTAATTGCTAGAATAGAGTAAACCCGCACCATCCAGCTGGCATCACGAGGACATCGTTCGGCCAGAGCCTGGGATGAAAGTAATACGAGCAACTGCACTTATACACACACGGGGGTGCGTGAAAACTCACTTTTGAATCTCGCGAAAAGGCTCCGCTCCAGGTCTCATGCCCCCACGGGTTCGCCAAGCAAACAAGAAGAAGGTGGCGTCTCTCCAAAGATGGTGAAAGTGAAGGGAAGTCAGTGATCTGAACAGTGCATAACCGAATGACGGCGTACGCGTGACCGACAACCAACCCTAGACGGGTCTCTCGTTCTTGTTCAAGAAGACTTTGGGGCTAAAAGTATAATGAAGGAAATGGGAAGCATATGCTTTTGACGGCGAATTGCGGTAAAATTTGCAGTAAAACTTTTTAGTCACATACCAATGCAGACAAATTCAACTTCGAGTCACGAGGGTGGGCAACTAACTTGTGCAGCAAAGAGCATAAATTCACGCACATCATAGAAAACAACACTGACTATGAGTCAAGTCTAGCTTCATTATGTTGTACATCACCTAGAGCACCATAAATGTGAAGAATGAGAAACGGTGATCAATGTGAGACCTAGTCCAAAGACCAAACATCTCATATTCGGAACGTTTTGGCATCCTGATACTATGGGACCGGAGAAACTTGAATTGAATATTGCTAGCTAATTACACAAAAGATAAGACAGAAGGCACATATTAGAAGACCGTTTTTTAGTGGCCAGATACGTTGAGCCGCGTACAGGACGCTGAGACAGTTATAGTCATATTTGACAAAAAGAAAATTTCCCTGAATAGATCAGTAACTGGATTTGGATACGGATTCACACTAGCAAAGTAAAAGACGTTGTAATGGCACTGTACAAAAAACACCCAGAAGTACAGTTAAGGTGGTCAGGGTGGATAAATTAATCGATATCGGTGATCATAACATCTCGCGACTTTCCTCCTTTTGAACAGTAGGTGGCGTTAAAATCACGCCAGACACTGTGTGAATAGTACCGTTAAGTGAATTTGGTACAGTCATTTCAAACCAAGAATGATATATCACCAATAGCCAAGGAGCAATACGGAAAATGTATCAGTGGCGTGTAAGTGATGTCTATTCAAGGCAACATGAGCCCGAACAGTGGACGGAGATAGCAGCGAAGTAATTCGAACCCATTAGCTCACTCCGTCATGCCCGAGTGCTGATCGAGTCAAGAGTGAACCAGAGAGAGCCGCAATGAAGATCAGAGGGACATTGTTCGTGTGTGTTTAGTGCTGAGCATGGGGGATGCCAAATGCAAAGACGCTGGCGCCGTCATCCCAGCCTGACGGGTAGTTGAAACAAGATGTGCTCATGGCTGCAGTTCTCAATAGATGAGCTTCGTTGCCGCTAAAATAAGGCGGTTATCGCAACGTCTTGACAAGATGATCGCCTGTAAGGCTGTACAAGTAAATTGATTCAAGTAGAAACAGCTATACAAAAAGTGAAACTCTGATTACTAACGCAACGTTAAGTCGAGGCACCCAGGAGGTGCCAATGCCTCGGAGTCCACTGGAAGTAGAACGCTGATAGTTGTGGCAGTCAAGCGGAGCGAGCATTGGAAGTCTGCGTCAACACCCATATAGACATGAGAATGAAGCAATGACATCCATCTGGTAAGCGGTACGCGGTGTCAGTGCCGAGTTGAACTGCTGAGGAGGCGGAACAGTTGCCATGTGTGAAAGGGACAACAATTGAGCGTAGCGGTGATTTTGGAGGTCGAGGTTCAATGGATTAAGTAGCTGAGTCGTAAAACGAAAGCCATGGGTAAGGGTACAGCAAGACAGAAGTGTGTATCGACGAACCTACGTGAGAAGAAATGGCCCATCTAGTGCTGTTAAGTCTCCCGTGGTAAGAACCGGACGACTTCCTAGGGTATGGGCCTGGAATGCACAGAATAGAACGCCGCCGAACAAGATATACTGGCAAAAAGAACACAAAACAGGACAAAAGGGAGAACCACACAACTGTCACAGACAGTCACGGGAGAAGACATGTTTGCTGATACAGGACAGCGGAAACCAAAGTATTGTCAGTTGTTACAACTATAAGCGACAAGAACGTTTGCGTACAACAGAGACACGGAAGCCAGACGTGCTGTACTGATGCAGGTGTGTGACTAGTGTAGTCAAGAGCGCACTTACTTTTTCAGCAACAGGTTTCACTCTGTTTTCCTGTGCACAATCACAACCCACAAGAGCTCCGAAGCACGGATACCAGTTCAGTCAGATATAAGCTCACCTTAATAAGAACTTTATTGGATGTGCAGTGGTTGTCTGCCAGAAGCTAAATGCGATGAAGCTCTGCAAAATATATTCTGTATCAAGGCCCCTCTAAGAGTGCATTCGCAACCAGCCGTAGGAAATGAGTTTGAGCCCAAAACAACGGGGGATTTTTAGTGAGATACCAAAAAGTTAATTGAACAGAATCTTGTAACCTGTATCAGCATTAATACGGACTTCGACCGAAACATAGAAGCAGGTGTCCTTTGGTATGAAGGAAATTAATGTAGCAAAACATAAGGAGGCAAATAGTTTTGAGACACCGATCAACAAAACAGTACTGGAAGTCGAAATCAAGTGAAGTCCAAAATGGCTCACTGATATTGCAGCCGCGATCATACTCCCGGCGATGTGGTAACGATAAAGCAATTTGTACGCGGAATCGCATAGAATAGAATCCTTCCAAGGTGAGAGAAAGGAGGAATTCAATGACTGCGGGGGCACCAAGATGTTATCGAACGTTCCGTAAGCCGGTAGGGGACCGGGAGTTTTGAAGGTTGGTAACGGCCGCAACCCAAAATCGAGACATTCAGTGTATCCACCTGTAAAGTCGATCAGGGCATCGGCTAATTCGCCGCCTTCTAATGCCTCATAACTCCCTAATAACCTGGAATAACAGCAAAGACAGCAAGTAACTGCCGAAATTTTAAACCAGATGAAACCGTCAACGGCATATGGAAACTACTTTGCATATGCCTTCTCCAGCAGCGCACACCAATACTCGTTCGGATCAGACGAATGACAATACAGAAGCTCTCCGTTCAGTGTCGGTAGGAGATCGTCAACAACAACGGTCACCCAGACCCCAAACCGCCAGAAACGAAAAACGAAGAGGCCATGGTATTTAGACCATGTCTGAAGCCGAGGAAGTGCAACGACCTGCAAAAATAAGGATGAGGAAAACCGGTTCTTCACCTTTCGCCATGCGCTTTCATGTTGAACGAGGCATGCACATGCAGCAACGAACCAACAATTGCCCAAGCGGCCTTGACGAATCGCTGATGGCCTCAATATGGTGTAAAGGGAGGGATGAGCCGATAACTCGGTGGGCCGCTGCCACGAAATTGGCAAATTTCTAACTGCATCAGATTTAGGGGAAAGACTGGATAGATCCGCTGGAAACTCCTGGTCTACGAACGATGTGTTGGATCTCCGCACAAATTCCAGCAGTTGCTCCGTGTTCTGATCTTTAAAGTACATTGAAAAGCACCATCTTTCAAAGACTAAAAGTGCCGAGAGAAGAAAGTCTTTGATACATAGTGATGCCATGTAGGCAGATGCGTAAACAGTGCCACTAAATCAGGCGATCTTAAGGCAAACATTTGGATACCCCGCCAAGTCTCATTTCAATCCAAAATGCTGCTCGACTAAACTACCCTTTCTAACAATCAGCTGGTTTCCCTTTGTATGCATTGACACCTTTCTCATCACGCTGCAGACATAAAAACCTAAAAGTTATTCAGACAGCAAGTGTATCTACAACCCATAGTCAGCACAATAGGTTAGGTGACTGAAAGAACATAAAACTCGATGCGTCCAAGTATGCATTTGACTACATTAGGCGCCAATACCAAACAGAGAGAGAATTCCGCCACAGTGCTTGTACAAGGGGGAAAACCCGATGAAATGAAGTAATGAACAAATTCTGCCAGTTTGGAGTAAAAGGCAACAACGCTATCTAAATGTGTGAGTTTTAGATCGTTTGCTGATTGAGTGCACTAGATTTATGAGAGTAAATACGGATGGGTTCACTATTAGTGAAGAATATATCAAATGACCTAAAATTACTGCTTGAAGTGCTTGACTTAAGACATCGGATATAACTCACCAGTGACGTTAGAACTTAGTATCACATCACTTTGCAGTCTGAAGGACAAACGAAAGAGGATTGAAGTAGGCAGCATCCAACATTTTGGTTGGCGGCGTTATGGATACCAAGGAGATTGGCTGAGAGGTACTCATACAAATGTGTAGCAAATCTTACCTAAAAAAGCGGTTTATAGCTGCCAACGAAAGAGCTCAACAAGGGCGTTGTTAGCAGCATGATAAGACAATATATGATTCCGGGCATAGAAGAGAGTAAGCTAAAGTGAAACTCACTATCAGTCGTCAGTGGTTGGTGACTCATAAGCCACATGTTAGTAAGCCGAACAAAAAGTCCAAGATTCAAAAAGCACAAGCATCAGTAAAGTAATATCACGAAAAGGAATCGCCGACTCGTGACCTGAAGAATCACAAGCCTGTCTTGTAATGCGGAGGTCGTGGGTCCAGTCTGCGTAGAGTACGCGATGTTTGCGCAGCAGCGAAGCGGGATCTCGCTACAGCACGTTTGGTAGAGAACTACTTGTCAGCTACATAGCTATTTATCACCTCCGACAAATATAAGAAGGTCGAGCTTTCACGGTCTACACTGATCACAAGCCTCTCATTTTCGTCTATAACTCAGGATCTGACAAATATCCGCCACGAGAAGCCAGACACCTGGACTTTGTCACACAATTCACTGCCGACATACGTTATATCTCAGGTGTTGCCAACCCCGTAGCTAGCGCTCTCTCGCGTTAATCTCACTCTTCACCATTTGCTTAATATCGATCTTGCCGCATTGGCATCGCATGAGGCCCAAGACGAAGACCACCAACGCATCCTGCAGTACACTTCGCTAGATGTGCAACCCGTTCCTCTCCAAACCAGGGACGGAACTATCTTATGTGATACATACACAGTTCGTCCTAGACCCGTCGTGTCCGCCTCTTTCAGACGCACAGTCGTCGACACCCTCCACTCACTGGCTCACGCGCGTATTCGCACATCTTTGAAATTGGTCATCGAGCGTTTTGTTTAGCCAAGCGTGAACAAAGATGTTCGTAACTAGGCTTGACCTTGTCTTCACAGCCAGTGCTCAAGGTACTCCGAGACATCCGCAGTCCTTTTGGCTCATTCCCTGCTCCGGATTCGCGGTTCTCACACATACACAGACTTGGTAGGACCCTTACCTCCTCGCGTATGCGTATACATACTGACATGTACCGACCACTTCACTAGATTGCCAGAAGCCATCCTTGTACCAGACTGCTAGGGCGAAACTGTCATCCGTGCTTTCTTGGACCGGTGGGTGTCCCACTACGGATGCCTATCCACCATCACAACGGACCGTGAGACGAGTTTCGATTCCTCATAATTCGATGGGGTCTGTAAATTCTTAGGCTGCCGCCGTATTCACACGACGGCATCATCATCAATACACGTTAGTTGAGCGTGAGAAATACACCCCAGCTAATGTGCCGCAATACAAAAACGTAAGATACAAAAAGGTTGTACTGTAAAAAAAATTCAGAGGCAGGTGATATAACACTAACTATTATAGTATGTCATTCGTAGGAGATCGGAATTAAAGTGGAATCTAAAACGGAGGGCGATGGACAAAGAAAAGCACTACACAAACGCCACTGGGGCCAGCTCTTGGCCATATCAGCAAATGGGTCCAACCAAACGTGTTCATGGTCCTTAGGACCCCAGCCAGGCAGTCGGGATGCACCAACCTACGGCAATTACGAAGTGTGGGCTTTTCCTTATCTAGACCAGGTAATCACTTGGCCTTCCCTTCTCTTCCAACCGCACTCCGGCACTCAAACAATGCACGTCGCGGGAGTCGGTATGCTGGCATACGCAACACGTGGTCCGGATATCGGAGCCTGGTGCGTGATACAATGGTGCTGAGCGGTTCGCTAGCTCTTCCTGCACTAAACACGCGGCGCCAAACTCGCTCACTGCTCACGCAGTACTACCACCAGACATGAGCTAAGCTGCGAAGTTAGCGATGGTCGAACGTGATTAGCCTCTTTGTCTGTCGAGCTGATGGGTCAGGATTCACAACCTTATAAGAGAGTTGAACGGACGGCTGCATTATAAACTCTGCCCTTCAGGGCGAGAGTGATGTCGTGTCTGCGCCACAGGTGGAGATTGGCAAAAGCACATCGAGGTTTTGCTGTACGGTTCGTAATATCATTTTCGAATCCACGAGCGCTACTATAGCTGCCCAAGTACTTGAATTCCTGATTACCACTAAGGCTCAGCGCAGGGATGGGTCTGCCAATTTTGAAGAAGTACATTGCATTTCGATGGAGCAAAGCATAACCCAGCCAGCGCTAATTGATCCAGTGCTGTTTGCCACGTCTGAGAGCTGTCAGAGTAGGCAATGTAGTCTGCATACTCTAATCAAGAAGTCGCTCACGAGGAAGTAGCTCCATGCCTTGTTGGTCGTGTCCATCGAACACTGTTACCATGATTTCGTCAACAGCGAAGTTAAATATGAAAGGTGACAGCGGGCAACCTTGTCCCACCCGTTGGAGATATAAAAGGGCGGTGACAGTTTGCCATGAGCTCTCACTCTGCCCGAACGATGCGTGCACCTCTCTACGTATTTTACGTAGTTAGCAGGCACACCTTTCCTCAGCAGACAGTCCCAAAGCGCACATCCATCAACCGAGTCGGAAGCACCTTTGATGTCAAGAAACACGACTACAGTAGGTCCACAATAAACATGGCGATGCTCCAACAATTGACACAAAGTGAAGTTGTGGTCGATGCAGCCGCGACCTCGATCAAACCCGGCTTGCTCCTCGCGGATCTGGCTTTCAAGAGCGCCAGTTAATCTGTGGAGAACAACAGACACAATCAATTTAGAGGCAATTGTGATCAGACCAATCTCTTGATAATTGCCGCATTCCGAACAGGAGCCTCCCCTGAAAATTAGGACTATGACGGGGCTGCTCCACTCTGTCGGGACAGTTCCTTGCTCCCAACGTTCCACTACAACACGTGTACCTCGTCTACAAGAGCAGGTCCCTCGAATCTGAATATAATTGGGGAAATTCTACCTGCCCCTGGGGCCTTAAGCAATTTCAACAATCTGATCTCAAGTTCGACTTCTGCGCGTGAGGGAGGATTTAAGGAGACGGCCCATGGAGAAAGGTATTCAGTGCCTAGAAAAAAATTGATAACTCAGATTCGTTAATCTGACTTGAAAAGTGTCCGGCCCAAAGCTACAAGCATTTTGATAGGCTGTGGATCGGTTGTCCACAATCGTCGCGTACTGTCTCGCTAACATCAGGTCTCCAACTGTTTGTATCTCGTATCAGACGGCAGTGGCCCTTTCCATCTCGGATACACGATGAGACCACCAGGCTTCGCGGTCCCTTCGCCCTGCAACTACGAACGCCCGACATCCTGCTGGCACAGTCTGCGCATTTCAAACTGGCCGATAATCCGGCGCAAGGGAAATGTTCAGGAGTTCAGTAGTAAAATAAAGCATATATTCGCAAAACTGCGCGTGCACACTAATACGACGCTGCATCCCGTGCATAGGGGTTAAACAGCGACAATCAAACTTGTTTAAACCACTCAATTTCTAGCACCTAATCAAACGTGACTCGAATAACCCGACATTTCCGTCTTTACCACAGTGTCTGTTAAGACCGACATCCAGCAGAAATCTCGAACTGGTTGCTCTAGGTCCACTGTACAACGCATGATACGAAGAAGTAATGAGGAGCTCACGAAATTGGTACGCTCTTCGCGTGAGTTTAAAGACTAAACTATATTTCGTTAGCAACTTCATCATGCAGCAACAGTTTGTAGCGGGTGTTCAGTGTTGAAGAGCCTGTCTATCCCAGCATCAGTGTCTTAATCTCCCAAGTTGCACCGTCCCTTCCGACTACAATCGTTACCTCAACCGTCATCGGTAAGGAGATTAGGAAAGGACACGTAAGAAGGAAGAAACAGTTATTTTCGTTGTTATATTTTCCCTAACAGCGGTTTCTGTAGCCAGCGTTCCACCAACTTCAGAGGATGTTACATTCAGAGAACTTTTCCGTGATAGCGCTTTGGTGGCCAACCTCGCAGCGATGCAGATTAACATCTTACTGCACCATTACAGGCGCGTACATCCTGATTTGCCGGCTTCCTTGCGCCCCATTTTGCACACCCCGCATGACTGCCCTGAACACCTCATCCAGGGTGGACTGTACGTGCATCTTAGACTGCAAGCAGCAATACGACGCATTTTCTTACACCTGCTGTGCACTCTCCATCAACATTGAAGTTGCAGTTACATGTCGATGGGATGTCACGGTTCCGCAGTTCCTGAATGTAAGTCTGGCCCATATTTGGCATACTGATGGAGCCACATGCAGACATATTTGTCATTGGCGTTTACAGCGGTT